TCATCCCCCCTTTCTTTCTCGTCCCTGCCCAGATCTCTTTCTGTCCGACTGGCCCTCTCAGCGGGGCTATAGAGTCCTAACTTGTCTACATTTACCCCCTACGTTGGCTGACCAATGGGGCCGTGGCGTGGAGAGTCCCTCCTTTAGCTCACCGCCATTCTTCCCGAGTCAGCTCATGCTCTCTGTTTTCCCAACCTCTGACCCCGGGCCATGGCAACAGGGGCAGGAATGTCAGGAGTGATTGGCAGGATAAAGAGCGCAGCCCCTCTCTCCTGCACAAGCGGATTTGAGACACTTTGAGGGGCGAACAATGGCGGATTTGGGTCTTGATTGGATCACTGATGAGCTGATGACTGTCAAAAGAGCACGTCGTCTTTACATAAGCCTGATTATCTCTGCGTGGCGGAGGAGAGGGGTAAGTTGGGAGGAGAGGGGATGCAGGGAGCTCACCCCCATGCAGAGTGCCTCGAAAAAAGGGGATAGATGTGCACACGAGGGCCAGGCGACACCGAGCCTCTCTCATCCACTGGAGGCCTTTTAACAAATCTATTCAGGCGACCAGGGGCCCTCATACATGTGGCCGTAATCACAGGAGGATGGCTGGGTTAGGGGAGTGTGAGGGTGGATGACACATGGAGGCAATCATTGTTCAATCCGTGACCATCAACCATCCCATCAAGACAGACAGAGGAGAAAGAACGAGGCTCGGATATATAGAGAGCGAGAGGTGCTGACAGAAAGGAGCAGTGGGACAGGCAAATCAAAGACAAATCCCTTCCATAATCTACCTCTTTAATAGGGATTAGAACTCACCAAAGAGCCTATATCAGAATACCAAAGCACCAATGAAGAGTCCTTTCACAGCGAGAGTTTGAGGGGCTGATAGAAAGTCCAGAGAGTGAGAGTGATATTCAGAAGTTTTCCTCTCTCCTGGCTGTTTACAGTGAGCTCTATTTTCGGAAAAAGTTTTGGGGCAGCTTGGGTGACAAACAACCAACATGAAGCACAAACTTTGAAACTGAAGAAGTTTTTTCGGCAGCCCCCGCCAGCAAACACTAATCATATTTTGGATCTGCTCACTTTTTCCCACTCCTTTCATATAGCGAAACATGTTTTGGACACCCTGTGTAACTGATTAAACGGCCTTTTGATGTCATTTTTTCAGCGCCATCATGCTAAGCTTCCTGATATCCAACTTTTGAAAGAATAACATATTGTTTGGGTACTTGGAAGAAGAGTAGCGTGATCTGGCTGGGATGAAGTTTGGAGAAAGTGAAGTGTGTGTGTGTAAGAGAAAGAGTGGCTGATATTCTCCTCAGCCGTGCTGGTGGCAGTCTGTCGGAGTTGGCAGAGGAAGTGAAAATGGCCTCAAGTGTCTGGCTTCCTTCCATGCTGTTCCTCACATCAATGATGGCTCTCAGTGCATCATCTCTCTCTCTGTACACCCCAGTTTACTCATTCTAGCTCCCGGTTTCTCTTTCTCTGCCTGTAAAAAGGAAGGGTGGGTGGATGAATTAGGAAATATGGTGTTTGAGAAAGTAGAAAAAACACCAGAAAAGTCACAATCATTATTTCCCCAGAGCTCGTACACACGTGTCAGGTTTAAGGGTAAGAGTTCAGCATTTGTGAAATTCACTCATTTGTTTTTCGTTGAGTGAAGACTCTCGTGTTGGTGCAGCTAATATGCCTGTTGGCTAAGCAAAGAGTGGAAACAGGGGCAACTCTTTTAAAAAAATGTTTGTAAAAATTCCTACCAGCACCTCACTCACCTAAACCTCACTAAAAAACACTTTGTATTCAGTTTGTTGCTTCAAAAACCAAAGTGTAAAAATGACATGTTATAGTTGTTATAAGGTGCTAACTGTTGGAAATAAATCAAATAGTGTATTTCCAAAAATACCAAACTAATCCTTGTTTGTAAGTTGTTTAACGCTAATAAAACTGCCTATCTCTGACTTCCTATAAATGGTAAATGGTAAATGGACTGTACTTATATAGCGCTGTATCCAGTCTTTAAGACCCCTCAAAGCGCTTTACATACTACATGTCATTCACACCCATTCATACAGAGCAGTGTATCTTACTCTAGGACCTAACATTCACACACATTCACACACCGTTGGCCATCGGGAGCAACTCAGGGTTAAGTATCTTGCCCAAGGATACATCGACATGTTGACTGCATGGGCTGGAATCGAACCCACAACCTTCTGGTTGAAAGATGACCACACTCCCTCGCAGCCCCATTAATTTACTTATTACATTATTAAATACTGTGATGTTAATAGTGTATTTAAATCGTATATCAATTGGAAACAGCCAGCTTCATAGATCCAAGATAATGTTTTTTTTTTTAAATAATCCCCTACCTCCCTCCCTTATAATATGTTGATCCTTTTAAAAATAATAAGGCCAAATGTTAATGTACAAGTTGGAAAGGGGAGCAAATGTTGTAAAATACATTTTTCACACATGCTCCGGAAAGATTTAAATTAGTTTCTGGCATGATGATTGCAAATGTCCTATTAAATATAATCTGGATAACCGATAAAGCCATCATAGAGCCCGATGTATGTGTACTTGGAACATGTTGTTGATTTGAGTCAAATAAAAATAGAATAATCTTCTTCCAATACAATAAATATTGTCTGTCCTGTAAATTCCATATATATCCAAATCATCAGTATATCCAACTTTCTCAAATTCATCCATGTTTCATAAGAAAGGTCTCTTTTTTAAAACATTTTCCAATAATCCATTTGGTTCCCTTTTCTCTATGAAATTAAATTGAAGAAAACGTCAATGTTACTAAATGTAAAGGTAGATGATTTTTGCATGAAGCGACAAAATGCAAATTGAGCATTAATAGGTCGGTGCATCAGTGTTTTTCAGCTAAAAAGCCAATTTAGTAGAGAATGCACCAAAATATTGCTTAGAGATTGTAACAACTGTCTGGAATTTGACAGTGGGCTTGCAGAAAGCTTTAGTGTTGGGGACACACACAGTGACAGTTGTCTACTTAGATGAAGTACACTACTGGCTCTGGGAGTGAGGGGGCAGCATTGAGTTAATCTGCAGGTCTGTGAACCTGCTGGCTCTGATTCTGTCAGTGTGTACTATCATGCCTGCTCAAATCAACACTTCACTGTGTACTGTAAAGCTGCCCAGCTAGGGCCGCATCCAAAAACGTCCCCATTATATTTAGGCAATTAAAGCAGAACCCTTCATTTAACTTCAACTAGCAAGTTGCTATCCATCACATAGCCATACACAGCTTGGACATCCTCTTAAAAGTAAAATTCAAGCACTTTTAAAGGAATCAAAAAATGTCCAGACTCTCGAAGCCTTTATCGTCACATCTACAATGTTGCCATAACTGCAATTGTGATAAATAATCTTTATCGAATTCCTTTATACCCAACAATGTACACTTTGGTTAGCTAAGCCACTGTTTGTATTGACTTTGATGTGTTTATTAATGCTAAGCTAGCTCCCCTTCACTCAACAAACAAATGTGACGAGACTATTATTTGTAATACACAGGGGCGCCGCCAGGGATTTTGGGCCCCATGAAAAGATATCACATTGGTTACTTAAACTTTTTTTTTTAAATGGTTTGGGCCCCTGTCAGTCACGGGCCCTTAGAATCGTCCTAAGTTTTCACCCCCTTACGGCGCCCCTGGTAACACATGAATGATTGTGTTGAAGAAACACCAGATTGTGTTGGGATCAAGCATTCAAATTCAAGTATATTGCTAACCTTGATAACACAATGGTTCCAAACTTTCAGGACTTTTTACAAAACCTGCATATCCTTATTTGTTATGCCTTTGGAGAATATGTCGCCTTTCCCAATCCGACCCAAGTTTAACCGCACTCTAACTGTTTCCAAATTACTGAACATCTGTACACTTCTGCAGCCGTTGACTTGACAAAGAGCCCCAAGCGACTTGGCGGTAAACCGATGATTGATTGGACTATCAAAATTAAGTCTGAGCTTATAACAGTTCCCTAATATCCATAGATGTCTTCACTGACTGATTAGCAAGTTTACATTTTAAAAATGATTTTGTGTTTAAATGAAGCTAGTGCTGTTGTGGCCCCTCCAGAAGACTCAAATCATGAGGCATGCATGACCTGCTGCTAATCCAAGCACAAACAGGAGCAAAGCTTTGAAAAACACTCACTATTAACAGCCCTGAGACCCCCCACCATCCTCTCTCTGCCTTTACCCGTCTTTGGTGCTCTGTGAACGTCAAGGATGGCTCACAGTGACACACAACCTCCCCCCCACCGCCCGCCTCTCCACCTCCCACCCACCTCCCCCCTGAGCTGCCGCCCCCATACTGGCTTCTGGCCTTTCCTGCCGTCTGATCCATATTTCAGAGGCGGCAGTGGTGGCACTGAGGGGGTATAATCCAACATTAAAGCAGGGAGGCCTGGGCCGGTTCATAAGGTCCTGGAAATCTTCAATTTCAATTTCCGCAGCGTTTGCAGTGGCTTCCAAGGTGCTGGCATAAGTCTCCAAGTTTTGGCGAGGGTGCAGGTTTCAATAAGGGTGGGACTTTTCTTGCTAAAAAAGGGCTGACACTGCATGGTTTAGTTGGCAGGGAGAGTGTGAGACAAGTAGACACAGTGCATAGGGGTCAATTAAGAAGTGAGCAAGTGGAAATCAATAATATCTTTTTGTAAATGTATGTGTATTGGTCATTTTCCCTTAAAATACCAAATCCTGTGTGAGTTTACACTTCATTTCTTAGAGGAAAGCTTATAAAAAAGAGAATTGCCGTGATAGGATTCATTCTAAAGTGCACATTTAAATTGATATCTGACATATAAAATAATATACTATAAGAAATTATAAAATAATCTTCCATACTCTAAAATATATGATACACTAACATTTGGACACAATCCTCGTTGTACCCCTGGTTTTCCAGACATTTTTGACAAAACATGAACAATTTCTCATCAGGTCCAGGGAATTAACTCTCCAATAATAAAATGACTATAATGACATTTATTTAGTTCCCAAAAAATATATTCTTTAAAGACAAATTCATATCCTGTATTTACAATATTTCAAGGTTTCCATTCACAACAGAAGAGGCGAAGACAGACAGAAGAGAGAGATACAAGCAAATCTGTGACAAAAAAAACAACCATCTCTTTTTGCAAGTCGAAGCTAAACAGTAATACTATAACAGGTCGCACTGTTCAAAAAATAGCCTTCATTTAAACTGTTCTCCGTTAAATAAAATTATTCCTTTCTTTTCTTTCTTTATCTTCTCATAATGTCGTCGTCAGAACTCGCTGCTGTGCTGTCCCATGGTGAGGTCTGAAGTGAGGGAGAATCAAGAAGGAAAGGTCAGAGGTCAATCATTTAATAAAATAATAGTGGAAAATCAGTGTATATAGTCCATGCCAATATGTGTCAGTAGTATAATTCTCTATGTCTTTAACTTAGTGGGATTGTATATTGTCGTTAAATTGTGAAGTATTTAGAGATTGATGTCCTTTTGTGAATTTGTACTTGCTGCTAGTGTTCCTTTTTATTTTATTATATTTGTATCTTATTGAATCTTTTAAATATTGTTATATCTGTCTATCTATCTCTCTCTATATATAATGTATCCTAAATATTCAAAATAACACACAAGTCTTAATTCTAATGACTTTAAATTCTAAAGACAATGTTAAACTTTATTTATGCAAATTGAAACCACTATAGGTAAATTGTTTTATGTCTTTTCACCCTCCACTACATCCCTGATGTTGCTCTCAGCGTTTTCTTTGACATACATTAGCTGCATTCACTGAGGGGGCGTGAATAAATGGAGGGAGATTATTTAAATGACATAGGTGGCGATAACTCAGCATTGGTGGGGGAGTGGGGGGGTGGAACCCTGCAGGATATATTAGCCTGCTGCCTGACGAGGCGTTAAAGTGGAGACTCAATCACATGATTTATGTGCTGAGCTCTGCCTGGTCAGGTGTAACAGTGTTTACCTCGGCTTTAGGGTTCATTTAGCACAGGACATGTGGAGAGACATTGAAGTTGATAATGTCGTGATGCCAAATTGATTTCAAATGGTTACCTGTCAGTGATCAGCTGGAAAGGGGACTTCAGAGAATCGGGCCTGTGGTCACTCTCTTAAAAAAAGAAGAATAAGATCAATTTAATAACAAGTTGGAGTTATATTATAACTCTCTCAATACTTCTGTATGCTATTTATTAGGTTTTCTTAAGATCAATTTGTGGCTGCTACTAATTTTTTTGCCATACTTATTCTCTTTATTTGTATTATGTTACTAGTGCTTTTCTTTTTTATTATTTCATGTTTTTTCTACCTGCTTGGCCACTTCTTCTGTAAACCTCTACATTTCCCCGCTATGGGACTAATAACGGAATTCTGGTTCTTTAGAAGTGTTGATATTTGCGTCACGTTGAGGCCTATTAAGTTCCATATATTTTCAGAGGGTTTGCAGAATCAAATGCACTCCGTACCATCTATTTTTGGACTGAAGCTCCCCGACGACTCCACATCACTGTCCTCTTCCGTCCCCGAAGTTCCGGGCCCCGTCGCCGCAGCAGGCCGTGTGTCATGACGCGCAACGGGAACCGCTCCGTGGAGAGGTAGGTGTCCGGCCGGCGAACCTCCGAGGAGCGACCTCATGTTCAAAATAGAGTTGGCGTTCAGAAAAGCTGCGTTGGCCCAGTTGTGAAGTTTGCCAATCTGGCATGTGTAAATCCCATGACCCGGGAGTAAGGCCGGGTGTCCGGGGGAGGCCAAAGCCGGGTGGTGCGCATGGGTGGAAGGTCTGTGAGAGCTGTCCGGGGCCGTGGCGGTCTCAGCCAGGGACCATATTTTGGGTTTGCTCTGCGGGGGTCTCTGGCACTCCTGTCTGCTGGGAGAACGATCCACAACTTTGACAACAGGCGATCTGTTGAGAGAAATGTCCGCGTCCACTGAAAGCGTCCTGCTGCTCTCGGAGCTCTTCGGCTCTGAGGCCTGCAGCTCTCTGTCGGCCAGGCCCGCCTCCCCCTGTTCCTCTCCCTCTCCTCCCTTCCCCTCTCCTCCCTTCCCCTGCTCCACCTCGGGTCTCTCGATGTCGACAGTTTCCAAATCAATCTCTTCCTCTTCGTCTTCGTCGTCGCTGCCGTTCTTTCCGATATCGTCCTCGTTGTCGCTGCTGAAGATGCGGCCGTCCCTGTCCTCTGCGCTGCGGCCCCAGGTCACCTTGTTCTCCTTCTTCAGGCGTCTGCGGGCGTTAGCGAACCACGTCGATACCTGGGATAAGAAAAAAATGTCCACGTATTATAAATCAGAGTAAAAGGCACTCTTAGTTTGACAATACGTGGCCCAAATTATGGACTGATTAAATATGTAAAAAAAGCCTCATTATGCTTCCCTAATTCGTCATTATCATTAAACGAGATATTAAATATCAGGAGATTTATCTCTCTCGGGATGACTTTATTTAAATATCCTCTGGCAACTGGATAATCATATTAAGTAATATAACACGTCGATTAATGAACTATTAGAGGACGTATGATATAACTTTTTTTAAAACAAGCAAATATATTATTGTGTTTGGAAACACATGAAATATCCAGGGCCTCTAATGAGTCACACTGATTTTTCCAAACATTACACACACCTGTGTGAGTGTCATCCGGGTGATGATGGCGAGCATTATCTTCTCTCCCTTTGTGGGGTAGGGGTTCTTCTGGTGCTCCCCCAGCCAGGCCTTCAGGGTGCTGGTGGTCTCCCTGGTGGCCGTCTTGGCCCTCGACGGGTCCCCGTACGGGTATTGGCCGTATGGGTAGAAGCCCTGAGCGGCGTGGACAGGTAGAGAGGCCGGGTGGGAGCCCTGGCTGTCCTTCAGCTCATACTGGGAGCCCTGAAATGTTAATGGGAGAGGGGTGGGGGGACAACTTGTTGAGTGACTTTAAAAATATTTCCTCTTCAAGTGAAAAGAGTAAAACAATTAATCAACATTTGAATTAAAATGTGTGCATACAACTTTTTTAAACTTTGTATGTCAATTTGCCCCCAAGTGGTTATATATTTAGCCTATGGGAATTATTAATATTGAATTAGGAATACAGCCAATAACAATTAACACGTTGCCGTAAAGTGGTTATGTTTTTTAATGACATTTAAAATATGTCAACTTTTGTTTTGATTTAACAAACGGATACGAATTACAATTAATTTCCTAACGTCTCTGAACATAACAGTTAGGAAATATTAATAGTGTTTTTCTAATTAATTAACATTGTCTTACAGTAAATTACCAGGGATTTGCCCAATTGTTTTATTTACACACACAAATCAAAACTGACGATTGCAAAGTTTAACCTTAACTGTGATGCATTTCTATTTTGTAAAAAAACACGTTATATGTTCAACATTTTCAATAAAAGCACATTTATACTGCAGACTGCACATATTAAGCATTTCATTAAATATTAATGTGATCTTTAAACTTAACATGTATTATTCATTAACGATTCTAAAATCCACAAATATCTAATAAAGAAGAATGGCTGTATTTACATATCTTAATCACTTTTAACTACTTGGTAATTGCGCATTAGTACAGAGGAGCTGAGCCGGACAGACAGCAGTGATAGTCCATCATTAACACCTGATCTGAACTCTCACCATCTGGGATATGAGGGCGAGGTCTGAGGCTCCGCTGTACGGCAGGAAGGCACTGTAGTTGTGAGCCGCCCATGGACTTCCGTACATCCCCAGCATGGAGCCGACAGCCGCGGCGGTTGCGGATGAGCTCAAGCCGCCTTCAGTGCCTCCTTCCCGGGCAGAGGCTGGCCGCTCGTACATCTCATGGGAGGCACTGAGAAACTGGGGGTATCCCAGCTGAGGGAAAGACATGGTCCGGAAAACGGCTTATACTGTAAATCTCTCTCAAAGCCAAAGTCACACAACTGCAAGAAGCAAGAGGCAGGACACAAAAAAATCCCCAGAAAGAAGTGGATGAAGGGGGCGTCTAAATCACCAGAGTCCCCCCTTTTTAAGAAACTGTCAAGCTTCCACACTTCCACCGACCCGGAGTTGTATCACAGCCGCAGTTTGGCACCTCGAGTGCGGAGTGATGCGTGGATCTGGCCGCAGGAGCTTCTGGATGTGGAGCTGACTGACTGATTGGCAGCCTACTTAAGCACCAAGCTCCTCCTATGCCCGGGGCAGGCGATTAGTGCATTGGTTAGCCTAGGTCGTGTGTGTGTGTATGTGTGTGAGTGTTGGTGTGTGTGATCTAATTTCTGCAGTGTCTATACAGAGAGGAAAACCTGTGAAGTGTGTGCAAGTGTGTACATGGTGTGTATTAGCTTTTTGTGGCTAGAATGACTTTATTTAATCAACACTATTCCCCCCCCCCCCCCCCCGTATTGTTGTGCACATACACCAGCAGTTATAGTAGAAGACAATTCATATTAATATTAATGATATTAATAATGAAAATAATAATAATAAGAGTTATGTATTTATTATTGTTTTTTTATTTATTATTTACCTCTGATTCATGTGCAATGTCTTATCTATGCTGCTCGGATCAATAATCTCATCTTTATCTTATCTTATTTAAATATTTCAAAAAACGAACTGGCATATTTTGGGTGTCATTTTCCTTCCACGCTTTGACAGCTGATCCGCAGGGTATGCCGGGACATTCTGTCCAGCAGATGGGCCGGGAGGCATCGATATGGTCGGCCAGATCCGAGAGGAATGTCCGTGATTATCGACGGAAGTCGGTGTGAGCATATTTTCAGAGCGAAGATAAAGAGTGCAGGTAATGACAGAGATTGACGAGGATAAGAGATAGCAGAGATAGGCAGCACACAGGAGCTGTGGAGTGGAAAATGACAGATGTCTGTTGAGAAGAATGGACTCACTGTATTCTGCTGAGCCTATAGGACTAGAGTCACCAATGATGAGAATATCTGGTCATTTAAAAAAGTATAAAGTTGAGATTTGACATGCAAAAACAACTAATTAGATTAAATTCAACTTTATTGTCATTGCACAGAGTACAGCGAAATGCAGTTTGCATTCAACCTTAAAGTGCAAAGAGTAAAGTGTGAGGCTTCAATAAACTCACACGACAGAAGAATATTGTATACATAATGTATAAATATGAATCAATATATTTGGATAAGGTGCAGATTTAGAAGCACGTACATCTATACTAATATCAATACTTCCCTCTATACCACCAAGATGCGGATACATATTGATGGCTCCTCATTGACAGGCTTAACTGTTAAATCTGCTCCTTTGAAACACACACACACACACACACACACACACACACACACACACACACACACACACACACACACACACACACACACACACACACACACACACAGCATTGGGGCAGTGCTAATGAGGTTGAGCACCCAGCGCCCTGCTTGGTGGCCCTGTGGCCCTCCTGGGTTCCCTCAGAGGTTAGTGTGTAATTACTCCATCCCCATAAATACAGATTCATCATTTCACACTGGAGCCCCTGATGAGCTTGGCTGAGCTGAGAGATAGATAGAGAGGGAGAGGGAGAGGAGAGGAAAGGAAGGGGAGGGAGGAAAAGAGGGAGGGGGTGGAGGATCTAATGATTTAATTACAGTGCTTAAAGCCCACTCTGGCTAAGTGATGGTCCTCTCTGTCTCTTTCTCCCGTTCTCTTCGCTGGCACCTAAAGGGCTTTACTCATGAATCTCAAAGCTGTTTTCCTAAACACATATTATGACGAGCACCGCCACCTCTGCTGCTGATGTGTGTGTGTGTGTGTGTGTGAGAGAGAAACAGCAAAAAGGGAGAGAGAGAGAGGATGCTTAATCTCCATGGCATTTTAAATGGCATTCATGGAGAGCGACTCTATCCTCATTGCCAAGGTAAATGGAGCCAGGGGACTCTCCATTTCAGCTCGATAAAAGAGCAATGTTAAAGACCCTCACAATTTCTCCCTCCCTCTCTCCCTCTCTTTCTCTCTCCTCTCTCTCTCTCTCTCTCTCTCTCTCTCTCTCTCTGTCTCGTTTCTCACTTAAAATTAATGTTTTTCTCTTGACAGGGGAGGGAAACGAGACATATCCACCATCTAATAGGATAATATAGCCCCATTCACCACCACCACCACCACCCCTCCCTCTCTCTCTCTCTCTCTCTCTCTCTCTCCTCTCTCTCTCTCTCTCTCTCTCTCTCTCTCTCTCTCTCTCTCTCTCTCTCTCTCTCTCTGCCTCTCTCCCCTGCCTTTGTAGCTGCCTGATTTCCATAGTGTCTCTGTGGAGAGGCAGTTAATGAATTCCTCTGAGCTGGAGAAAGGGGGAGAATGGTTTGGCGGTTTAGAGAGAGAAAGAGGCAGGGATAGGGGGAGGAAGGCTTTGAGCTATGCCATTCAACTTCACAGCCTCGGACTGCTTGTGCATTCACCGTGTGTGTGTGCGTGCTTGTGTGTGTGTGTCTTTTAACATGAACCTGCTAAGACTACCAAATATTTAGACTGGCCTCAGACCTCTTTTTATGGCAACGGTGGATTGAGGGATCTCAGGAGGCAGCTTGACTCTATTTGAATCCCATTCCCTGCTATTAGCTCGGCCCGGACAAAGGAATAACTTACTGCAGGAAACATTCAAATAAAGTCCCACAATCCACTTGCACTGGCCATTTCCTCCTGGGTAATTTGCTGTGAGGTAAATGAAGGAACCCGAAAAAACATCATAAAGCCGTTCTTTTTTTTATTCTTTGTTTGCTTGCACTTCAAAGGAGGGATGATGGCAGTAATTCAATGATGATTCAATAATTGCCATTGATGCTTATTGCAATATCTCAATTTTAGAACATGAATAGAGCAAAATTATCTGTGTAATTGTCCCATAGCAGTAATGTTTTTAGTGACACAATACTTTTTCAATAATGAGTAGTGAACAGGTTCACAATTATAAAACTATTACTGTTACCTACACGTGTACTGTCACTCTTCACAGTTGTTTCGTTGACCAGAAGTTTGATTGGAGGTTGATATTAATTTTTCATCTCTGTGTGTTAATCTAATTTTGACAGTTATTATGTCTCCATCCTGGCTAAATATTCTTAGTTCTTGTCATATATAGTCAACCTCATCCTAGTCGAGTCTCAGTGCTGTGCATTTGGTGCGTTTTAGTCTCATTTTGTTAAAGACACTAACCTGTTTTAGGAGTTTCAGTCAAAGTAAACTCTTGACATTTGATTTTTTTATAGTCATCAAATTATATTTTACATTTCAGTCAAGTTTCCTTCTTCCAAGCCCTGTTTTTGTTAACTTGAGTAAGTCCTCCTAACAGTTTTCATTGGGTGCTGACAGTGTAGTCCTCATATTGGGACTGCAGGACATAGAAGTGCTGCGTTGAACGCATAGACTGTATATAACGATATAAATGTTGTCCCCTCTTTTAAATACTATTTGTCTCATCTTTCCCTCAACAATATAGCATGTTGATACAGTCACAGTGTTGAAGGAATTCGATGATGTCTTGTCATTGACATTGAAAAAAGGACGTTTCTGAACATATTTAGTCAAAATTAACACTGATGGAAAAACGTTAGCTTAGCACAGGGGCTCCAGGGTTGACTCAAAGAAAAAGGACCAATGTGACTCTTTGGTTGTGCCTAAATTGCTCCCATCATATAAGGGCCCTACATCTACTCGCAAGTTTAAGAGCAAATGTACTTTCTGCTTAGAATCCCATAATGCAATGGGTTGCATTAGATGTGGAAATCCCAATTGTGAGACCCTTCACCTGTCAGTTACAATGCAAAATGACAACGATTTATAAGTCTCCTAAAGCCCCTGTCACACTGTCCCGAAATTGACACCCGATGGACACACGATAAAGGAAATGTTCAAATTCGGCTGTGATCGTAGCAACATCGGGCCATTCGTGAGGGCATCTAAGCCAGTGCTTCTCAAACTTTTTTCAGTAATGTACCCCCTTTGAAACATTTTCTCAGCCAAGTACCCCCTGACCGACCCCAAAAATGTTTGATCGAAAAACCCTATACAAATAATTCCAATATTGTGATGTTCCCTCAGTGTGTGATTTATTTACTCCTTCATGCATGCATTACAACAAACTAAGGATATTTTCATTTTATGCATGAAAAATAATAACATAACAAAAAAAAATGTAAACAGATTTTTCCAAGGAGTTTTTCAATTGAAGTTTAACAAACCAATGAACAAAATGATATATTATGCAAAACTATACAATACACACATTTGACATGTTTATATGAGGTGGTTCTAGGAATATTTTATATAGAATTGTGTTTTCTATTTAACTTATTGTACTAAGATTATTTTTGTAATCATGCATGGAACTTTTTTAATTAACTTTTTTTATTTATTTTTTAAATCTCACGTACCCCCTGCAGTACCCCAACGTACCCCTAGGGGTCCGCGTACCCCCATTTGAGAATCACTGATCTAAGCCATCGTATGACCGCCGGTGGAGTTTCTCAGGCTCCGGCAGCAACTTCGTGAGTGGCAACTTCGTAAGGCACTCGTGAGGGCATCTTGTCAAATCGTGTCATCTTCGTGTTATCATCGGTGCATCACTCTGATCGGGGCGAATGAGAACCGATGATAACAAGATGCCCTCACGATGGCCTTACGAAGGGCAAAATGGACACACAAATTCAACACGAAAATGAACCTTCGCAAGGTCCTTCGGAAATGTTTTGGCATGCCAAAGATTTTGCCACCGCTCACGAAGTTGCTGCCGGAGCCTGAGAAACTCCACCAGCAATCATACGATGGCTTAAGATGCCCTCACGAATGGCCCGATGTTGCTACGATCAGAGCCGAATTTGAACATTTCCTTTATCGTGTGTCCATCGGGTTGTTTTATTGCACAACAAAATCATGTAAATATATTATGTAAATAACCCAATTTGTGTTCTGTGAAACAAAAAAGGATATAATATATTATTTTGAAGGCGAGTTGACAGAAAGTTGTTGTTGCTATGGAAACAACATGACGGAGACAACTTAATATCTTCTACATATAAAGACGGATAAAGTAAAGAACAAAGTCTGAAAATATCAGTACTGTATCATAGTAGGGTGTGACCCTAGATAACAACCT